CCCCCCCCCCCCCCCCCCCCCCCGGGCCCCTGCGTGCTGGGCAGGTATGTGTTGTGCGGCCGCTGGCTCCTGGTGCTCATGCAGAGGAACAGCTCGGCAGCGGGCAGACACAGCCTGGGCCTTGCGGGTGACTGGCGTGGGGTGAGGGCGCGGGGAGAGCCCAAGGCCACTCTACAGTGCCCTGGGTCCTGAGTCGGATGGTGGCCCACTCTCCAGGCTGCCCTCTGCTTGCTGGGTGCTTCCTGTTGTAACTGCTGATGTCCAGAGGTCCTAGGCTGCAGGGACACACCCACGTTTCCTGCCTCGGTCGCCATCTGCCTGCGTCACACCGTGTGGGACCCTGACTCTGGGGAAGGGGGCACTGAAACAGCCTCCAGATCCCCAGAGAAATGGAGAGCCAAGGCTATGTGTATGTGGGAGGTGTCTAATGTGTGTAGGTCCCTCTGCCCACTTCCCAGGTCCTTTGCAGCATTCAGAGACACTGATGCCTCAGTAGCCAAGAGTCCCATGGCCAGAGCTAGCCCTGAGCTCCATTGCCAACAATGTGCCCCGTGGGAACAGGAAGCTGGCAAGACTGCGAAGTCCCCTCTGCCCTGGGGGAGGCCGGGCTCCTAGCTATGCTCCCTGGGGCCCCTGCACAGGATAGGCAGCTTGGCCCAGCGTGGTCTGGTGAGAGAATTCTGCTACAGAAGTTCTTCACCCCCTCACTGTGGCCACGCTGGTAATGGATTAGGAGCTATGACCCCGATCCTAACCTTAATCCTAATTTTTGCCACCTCCACAAGGGTTTAATGCTGATGCTGCCAAAGGGTTTTAACGACTGACCCAAATCCTTCCCAGAGGGAAGGACGGGAGAAAGTCCATGAAGGTTCATCTCTCCACAGTCTCCCTGTTTATCCAGGTTCCCCCTCCTCCAGCTCCCCTCCCGCTCCTCCCCTTTAGCCTCACCCTCCTCCTTCCTCATACTCCTTAGGCCCCAAACCTCCTCCAGCCTCCACTTTCTCCATCAACATGCTCCATCCGCATCCTCTTCCAGCCTCATCCCTTCTCCAGCCTGTTCTTCCACCCTCCTCCACCTTCCTCCCTCCTCCTGCTCACCCTCCTCCAGCTTCCTCCCTCCTCCCACTCACCCTCCTCCGGCTTCCTCCTCCTCCCACTCACCCTCCTCCACCTTCCTCCTCCTCCC